ATTACGAAAATTTTCAATTGCGACTGTTATGTCTAATTATTATTTGATTTTTATTGTTTGGTAAAATGGAATTTTTTGTATATAGGTATTTAGTGTAAATAAGCTATGTCAAAAACGCGTTTTTCATATATACATATACACACACATTTGATGCTAAGAACATTTTATAATAATATATTATGCACTTAAGAATAAATTCTCGAATTTGAATATAAATATTTCTGCATTATAAAATGCAAAATATTTAATAGTAATTATGTATATAAAATATTTGATATGTAAGAAACAATTATAAATTTATGTTATAAGTTTAAAAATGTAACATAACTTGCACATAAAATACTAAATTAAGAAGAAAAGTGTCGCTTTGTATTTTTACAACAAATTTCAATTTAACATGTACGACTATTATTACCGATCATATGCAATAAAGGAAGAACATATTTAAATTTCAATAAATTAAATTTCAAGCAAATATAAATATATGTTCGCTAAACAAGTCAAAAGAGCGATGTCGTTACCTCAATTATTGCAATAAGTATTTTTTTCGCTGTAATTGAATAATTGTGATCGAGGCACGCATTTGCTGAGACACTGTCAAGACTTCTTAGGAATTGTATCTCAATTGATGGCTCACGCATAATTATTTAATTGTAGCGCTAAATTCATTTTCGCAATAATCCACATCGCGTTCGGCTTTGTCAGCCTACATATTTATATTTGTTTTATATTAGAGCCGAATATAATTCATAATTGTTATTAAATTTCAAACATTACAGGAACACTACCAGAAATGTTCTTAATCTCTACTTTTAGTTTTTCTACGTAATTATCACTTACAAGGGCAACACCAGACATCGTTCCCTCCGATTTGGCCGAATCTAAAATATGTTGTATATGTTCACACTAATTCATAGTAAAAAAACACAACCCAACTCTCAAGCATTTTTGAAAAAAATGTAACTCCTTTAATCTTACGTAAAAATAAAACTAAAAAAATTTTTTTAGAAAAAGGTGAAAGAGCGCCTAGATCAACGATATGTATAAAAGCGTAATAAAAAAAACAGTATGTTTCAAAGTATTGCGTAAACTTGTGTTGTCAAATTAATACTTCTAAAAAAATAATGAAATCAAAAAGTTGCGCCAAATAAAGTTATATTCCAAAAAATTACAAATCAAAAACTTATACAAAAATTAAAAATTTTTAATTTTTATTATTAATAATAAAAATTTAAAAAATAAAAAATTTTAGTTAAAAAACTTGACGCTACTTTTCAAAATTGCTAGAATGTATCTTATCTGTAATACATCTTTTGTTAGAGTAACAAATAATTAATTTACTGTAATAAAATTATAATACATAATATTTTTTTTTAAATTGCTTGCATCAATAAGCGTGATTTTATACGAGCTTATCTATATATGATGATTCAATGATGACAGAACTTGGTAAACGTGTTTTCCTTCCCGAAGCAGAATGTATGTATATCTGTGAGAGGAAAATCTATATTTATCATTTAAACATGAGAAGTATATTATTCGACGTAATATTGTCAGCAATTATAAAGCGTAATAATTATACATCGCACACACAATTATCGGAAAGCGTTTGCAAACAAAAAATTCTATAATTTGCGCAACGATTTTATAAAATGGTCGTAATCTTTTGATCTTATAGTCAGAATCTCATTAGTTTGTTGCAATATCAGCTTACTTTATTCACTGCAACATTTAACACAGAAAATTCAAATTAAAAAAGAACAGAAAACAGAAATTTGCAAGCATCTAGTAACTATTTTAACAGTTACTTTATTAGTTACTTTTTTTGGAAACATCCGCTAAAAGTATCGTTTAAGTTTGGTAGCCGTTATATTGTTAAATTAAATTTTGATAACAGTAGCATATGGATCTTTATATGATTTAATCTTTTACCTAAAATTTCATTTGTGTACATAAATAATATAACACATAATTAAAATCGACCAATCACAGTCAAATATTAAAAAAAATTCTTAAATGTAATAATTGATCGATTTGCTTCAAGAATTTTTTAAATACTTGACTGTGATTGTGCATAAAATGTAAGCTCCTTATATTTAAAATAATGTATAATTATTTTTAAAAAGTAACTGAAAAGTAACGACTCGTTACTTTTTGAGTAACTGTAACTGTAATGAGTTATTTTTTAAAATCAGTAACTTGTAACTGTAACTAGTTACTTTTTCAATAAAATAACTGTAACTGTAACTAATTATTTTTACAAAGTAACTTTCCCAACCCTGGTTTTTTATTATGTTTAATTAATATGATTGATAAGACGCAAGTGAGCGCTCGAAACGTCTCATCTATGTAATAAATAATAGAAATTTCATGATTTAAACATATCTTTGTATTATTGTCATCTAATAACCACTCGTCTAAAACACCTTATATACCTATTGTTTATTTATTAATATTGTTACGTCCCTGATCTCTCATCCCCTGAATATCATCCCTTGTGTCGTGGAGCTTCATCGTTAAGGGGGGTTGTTTATTGACAACCGCCCGGTGGTTGTTTTCAGGCTCCATGACAGTTTTGGTCTGGCTGTCATCTCGTACGGACGTGACTTGACCAGAGAGCAATCTTCTTTCTTTCGCGTGTACATTAGTCATTGTATTTCATCATTGTATAAAGGATCATTTCTTCATAAGAGAGTGTATTTATTTCGCGAGCCGCGAGTGAGTGAGAGTGTGTGCGAGAGACGTCTTTTGCGAGAAAGAACGTCCGGAGGACGTAACAATATATTAAGATCTTATGTTCATATTTATTTATAATAATATGACTCAACACTCAAGCATTCATGAAAAATTGATCCATTAATCTTACGTAAAAATGGACCTAAAAAAGATCTTTTTTTTAGAAAAATGTAAAAAAGCGCCAAATTCAAAAAGTAAAATAGAAAAAATAGTATGTTTCAAAGTACTGTAAACTTATGTTGTAAAATTAATATTTCTAAAAAAATATTGAAATCAGAAATTAGAAATTAATACAAAATAAAATATATAAAAAATTTTAGTTAAAAATCTTGGCGCTATACTTTCAAAATTGCTGCGATGTATTCTATTTGTAATATATCTTAGAGTAACAAATCATTCATTTACTGCTATAAAATTTTAATATATAATAAATATTTTTTTAATTACTTGCATTAAGCGTGATTTTACACTAGCTTTTTTATATTATATACGATGATTATATATTATATACGATATTTTATATTGTATACGATGATTCGACGATAATAGTACTCGCTGAACGTATTTTCTTTTTTGAAGCAGAATGTGCATGTATTTTTGTGAGAAGAAAATCTACATCTATCATTAAATAATGCAAAGTATATTTTTCAACGTAACATATTCAGCAATTATGAAGCATAATAATTATACATCGCATACACAATTATAAAAAAGCGTGTGCAAACAACAAGAAATGTAAAAAAATTTGCGCAACAATCTCAAGAGATGGTCGTAATCTCATTATCTCATTGTCAGAATCTCATTAATTTGTTGGAATATCAGCTAATTGGAATCAGTTTTAATCATTACAACACTTAGCATTGAAAATTCAAATTAAAAAAGAAACAGAAAACAAAAATCTGCAAGCATATTAACCATTTTATAGTCTCATTTTTTGTTTATCAATTTCATATTGTCATTATTTATATTCTAATCTTATATTTTTGTAATTTTATACAATTAGATTCAACATTATGTTTAACATATGCGCACAACGAGAATCGAGACAGTCAATCACGGAAAAGCGACAACAGTGTCAATAACATGCATTTTTAAAAGGGCGGATTCCATGCTGAATTGATCAAACTAACGTCAAAAGTTCCAACATATGTTCTTTGGTTTTCTTGCATAATTAAGAATAATAGATGTGTATATGATTTTATAATAGTAGACAAAATTGTGTGTGTGTGTTTCCTCGCAAAGTTATCCACAACTCGTCATGCTCGGTAGTTTCATTTCTTCTCTTGCACAGACACGTATTAACTTATGCAATATTGTCTTCTTTCAAGTAAAAAACGTCAAAGACGAATACAGTGATACATTATATGCAGTTTACTAAATTAGTGTGATAATTAAAAATTAACAACGCAATTGTCTAGATTGACAGTGTTAGTATAAAATCAGATCAACATTTTTAAAATTTTATAAAAAAAAACAAAAAGAAATTATTCAATTCGATTATATGTGTACATTACGCACTTGACACATATCTTTAATTTACTAAATACAAAAGCTATAGTAGGCACAAAATAAATATACATTTTTTAAGTATTGAAAATTAAAATTTATATGAGAAATAATGAATGTAGCAACAGGTTTGATTGATTTCTCTATCTAATTTCTGTAGTGAATCCTTTGTAAAATAATGTTTGTACAAAATTTTGCGGTTCTGCGTTGTGAGCTTTTTCTCCTCATCACTTCGTCATCGAAATCTCAGGAAAATTACACCAACAACAAGATGAAGGTTATAATTTGACAGTACGATACGAGATATATGCAAATTCTACAACAATTTATAGCGACGAGATAAATCCACTGCGATATAATTTGTATGAAAGGTTTACCAACAATACGCAACATAAGGAAACGGAATATGAATTTAGCATTTTTTCCACGAATATCGATCGCGAGGATGTTGATTCAAAACTATCTAAACTAAGGAGGCGTTCTGCTCACAACCATGAAAATGATGACAAACTGATGTACACTTACATCAATTCAACAGATGTCGATCATGCAGAAAACTCTACGTCACTGGAGGTTTATGATAACTTGCTTGAAAAGAATGATTCCATGTCGAATACAATCTTTGAAAATTCCAATAAGGGTATTAATGAAAGTAACACTGTTTCATTCCAAATATGCCATAATATCACTTGCATTCTGTTCTGCTGTCCTCTTGGCAATATCATGAGATGGAATGACTCCAAATGTATTCCAAAAAAATGGAATATGTTTTTCCGAATGTGTACGAATACATGAACGATTTAACGCAGAACGAAAGTAAAATAGTGGACGAATTCTTTCAGTTAGCCGTCTACGATCCGTGCTTAGGAAGCCGTACCGTGGCATACGAGGGTCATCAATACGATTATAAGATTTTTGCCAATGGTTCTATTTATATCCCTTATTATGCAACATTAATTGAATCGACATCATATTGCTTTACTATTATTTTGGAAAGGGGAAATACGTTTGAAATAACTTTCTGTTCAGATCTAAAGGAACTTTACAGAAACGCTATGAAGTACTCACCTGAGTTTCGTTGGATACATCGTATGATTGATATACATTGCAGCTTGAATTTAGTGGGTATATTATTTTTGGTGGCAGTATTTCTAGTGTATTCCATATTACCAGAACTCCGAAATGAACACGGCTTCATGTTGCGCAATTACTGTGCATGTTTATCCATCACATTCGTGATTGATACAGTCAAAGTTTTACATTTGAAAGAGGAACCGACATACATCCGTCCCGTCTGTATTACAATTGGTACAGTATATCTAGCAATAAATTACATAAATATATAAAATAAGTGCAGAACGTATTTGTCAATCATAATATATATCCGCATAATACATCTTTATTATTTGAATATATATAACACACTGGTTAAAATACAATTGTCAATAATGAATTAAACTAAAATTTAATGCATTTTAATTATAATCTAAGTTTGCCCCAACATATATATATATATATATATATATATATATATGTGTATATACATATATATACGAAATTTTGTTTTATAGAATTTTGCAGTGTTAATGTCTTGAAATATTATTTAATTTAATATCGATAGTATCAGTATTCATAATAATGAATAAATATTGTTATTAACTTTTGGTGCAGAATATAGTACATAAATCTGTTTAAAAGTGAAGAATCAAAAACTTGAATCTTTTGATTTTTTTTTCATTTTTACGCACGCTTAGTGATGAAAATAATATTTATTATTGTAACCTTTATTTATATTCATTTTTCAGCCTTTTTAAGATATTTTTGGTTTATGTCGAGTTCCTTTTGGCTAAGTATCATGAGCTTTAATATGTGGCGGACATTCAGGTAAATAGCCAAGTATTTTATATTGTACTTTAATTCTTGGTTTCTGATTTTAATCTGTCTTTACATATGGTAATTGCTTTATAGTATTAAATATACCAAAAATTTTGTCAAAATAACTTAAATTTTTTGAAATTAGAAATAGCATATATATTAAATAATATACATTATTTATTTAAATTAAAAAATATTTATGAATTATTACAACGTAATCTATTTCGCAACTTGATTTCAAACTTGATATTTATATTGCGTCGATCTTTCTTTATGAATAAAATAAAGCAATAAACAATAATTTTTTAACATAAATATATTTTTTATCTCTAAATATTAAATAATTTAATTTTTTTTTTCATAGAATAATTATGTAATTCGATAATAGTTTCTAAATATTATACAATGTAATCAAAAACAAACAATAATTTAAATCTTTTACAATGAGATTTCTTTTATTTACACTTACTTAGGTAAATATGACATGTACATTATACATGTAAATTACAGAGAATTTTCTTCGCTACAAAGGAACGTCAAAGGAATTATACAATCAGGAAAAAAAAAGTTGGTGTATTATGCTATTTTTGCGTACGGATGTCCATTTGTATTTGCAATTGTTTGTGTCATTGTTGCGGATTATTTATCCGAGTATTTACCAAAAAATTTGAGACCAGAATTCGTAGAAGGATCTTGCTGGTACTCTAGTCAACGTACGTTTTAGATAATTTTATTAATGTACGCAATTTAAAAGTATGCAACAGTATATAAGATATCATACTTGCAGATTTTGAAGCGTATATATTTTATTATTACTGGATCAGTACTACCTGTATTGTTAGTAGCATTTGCTTATCCATTTCTTCGTCTCGAAATATCAAACAATGTGAAAAGGATGCAAATTTTCGTCTAACAGATTCGGAAAGCAGGCAGTATAATCAAAATAAGAAATGGTGAGTAATCTTACATTTTGCATCACTCTGTGATAAACTTTTATTTATATTAGTGAGATTTCTGTAGAAATATTTTTGTGAACATCTCTGCCGACATCACATACTCGCTTAATTCGCATTCCAGATGAAAAAGAGATACGATTTTTTGAAAACAATACATTTTAACTGTGCTTATTCTTGTCTTTTTATTATCATTTTTCCTTCTATTTTGTAATAACATAATCTATTAGAGAAGAAAAACAATTATTTCTGTAACTTGCATTAGGTCTTTTCAAAAACGTGTGTAATTCTCGAAATGTCGTAAAGAGTGAAAATCAACGAATATATATTTAATACATAAATAATTACATTTTTGAAGTATTTCTTTAAATGACTTTCTCATTTCCCCATTTTTAGAAATTGTAATTTGTTCCACCATTTTCAATTTAATAATTTGATACATAAAATTTGTTATTTTTTTTTTTAAATGACTAAATATTAATATATATTTCTTTGCAGGTTTAATCTATATATGAAGTTTTTTATCATATTGTTTATCACTATGGGTATAAATTGGATTTTGTATACAGTTGGATGGCACTTATATACAATACAATTATATTATTATTGTTTTTGCATTAATATTGCTAATGCTTTGTTAAATGTAACAGAGTATTTCTGGTCTTTATCATATTTGTATGGAAAAAGAAAATCAAGTCAATGTTATTGAAACGATTCGGATTCGAGACAAATACATCGACTTGAATACCACTTTTGAGGAATCTATGCAGGAAAAGGCGAACTTTTGCGGAAAAGATTTGTCACACAAAAAACTCATCTAATGAAATTGAATTCTACTGTTGTCAGTATGTAAAGAAAAGAGTTTTATCACAGATCAAATATCAACGATTAATATAATTGTATATAATCGCAATTTAATATAATCTTATAAAATTGAAAGTTACAATGTTATATTTTACGTGATGTTAGATTTCTTCAAAGGGTTTAATTAAAAATTTTACATAGAAAATTTGTCTTATCGCAGTGCATATAATTATTTTAAATTAATGCGGTTTAAATTTAGTAAACATTTTTCGTCAAAAAATAATCTTTTATGAAAGCTATACAATATATTATGCTGTATATTATTATAAAAATGATTTCTGCTTCAAATAAAATCATATTATACATTTATATAAATATCCCTTATGGAAATTTATTATTAGTAAGACAAAATAATAACTTATTTCGGTTACTTAAATTACTGTATATCAGTAATTTAAGTACTCTCAAAATATGTGATTATTTGAACTTACCAGTGATAAATTTCCATAAGAGATATGTATATATAAAGGGAAAGTATGATTTGTTACAACTGATGACATGGTCCATACAAATAAACGAATATTTTTAGACGCAACGGTGTTAATGTATTTATTGTTTATAATAGTATATATTTTAACGAGGTGCTCAGTGTAGCTGAGATATGACAAAAGCGCGTTTATACATATATATATATATATTTAAGAGTGAAAGAAGAATCAATGGATAAATATAAAGTATAAATAATAATCGAATAAACAATGGCTATCTCATCATTCATGTATGACTTCTAAATTTTTGGGATACTATAAAACTTTTTTGCCGAAATAATTGAGTCAAAAATAAAAAAAAAATTATAAGAATATTTATTATTTTTGATATATTTCTGATATGAAATTCTAATGTATAGCATATTTCCTATTTTTAAAGCATAGTTTGAATTTTTTAATTTATTTAACGCATTTTTCCAAGCTCTGGAAACAAATTCATTTGTTGCAGCCAAAGTCATTACAACATTTTTAATAATAAATTAAATTAGAGAAAATATTTCTAATGACGCCAGTAATATAATCACTAGGATAAGAATATTTTAATGTGTAGACGACCAAACTGAGCAAATAGTATTCCTTTATTATATATTTGTCATAACGTTTCAACCTGTCAATGGGCTCTTACTGCGCCTGCTGTTGAGTGCGTCTTACAATTAGTTCGTTGGCGTCCGTCGACGTGTTCAGACGTGTTTTTTCTGAAAGAATTTTTTCCTTTTTGGTCCATTGTAGATCTAATTAGAACTTATGGCCGGGAAGGAAAAGCCAAGTCTGGCTTATATAGACCACTAAACCGTGAAGAAGAAGAAGAAGGTGCGTCCGTGGAGTTTCTGCGAGGACCCCCGTCCTCTCTTCTCACAACAGCTCTCTATGTCCGTTCGTCGGCCGAATTCCTTTCCTTGGCTGATATTGTTTATGTCAGCAATCAAGTCGGCTACGTTCATCCTCGGCCGCGTTTTTGCCTCGTTATTTGCTGCTACGGTTAATTTCCTCGAAAATATAATATTCTCTCTTTCCTGGCAAGGCTCCCGAAAAATAAAAATAAAATGAAATAAAACTCTCTCTCTCTCTCTCTCTCTCTCTCTCTCTCGACGCAACCGCTCTGTCCTGCGATCGGGAGTGCACGTGCATCGGGACGACCACGTCAAAGTACATACACGGCATGAATGTTTTATGTCAAATATGTGTTTACTTGTATAACAGTCGAAAGTCGAAAGTCATACGCACGTATGCATAGCGCAACATTGTACGTATCGCTTAAAGCGCGACGATGGTCGAAAAGCAAAGTAGTAAGGCAATAGGACGGTATTGCGAAGCGTTTAATAAAAAAACGAGAAATCACTCGGCACTCGATCAGATAAATATTAACGCGCTTTTTCGCCTTCTATCTAATACTATTAAATTCGTTTTTGTCATTAATATTGTAAAAAAATTTTTAATAATTGTAATTGATAATTGTAAAAAAATTATTTGACTTTTACAATCATCTATCTTTATTTCTACAATACACATTTTATTTGTACAGTAGAATTTATAACAGAAAAGCATTAAAAATGCAAAAATTCAAAAATTTACATAATCCTGTATACATACACATATAAGATTCAAAAAACCAAACACTCACAAACCGTTCCTTTTTTTAGTATGTGGGACTATTTATATATCCTCCGTAAGGGCTGTAAGTTATGAGACTTTTTCTTTATAGGAAAATATACCGCACTAAAACCCATACCTAATGTAGACACTGCTTCAAGTCAAGATAAGCGGAGTGTTTTTCTGTCATTCGATACACTGACCGTCCCTATCAACATATATAAATAGTATAAGAGCAAGGCAACGTTAAAGAATTCTTTAACGGCTAACAAAATTCCAACTTATACACATTATATTGCATTATTTTAAATATTTAGGCTAGATAAATAACATAATACTTCATATTTACGATTATATCTTAATGAAATAAATAGGTATCCAAATTTTTAATAATATTGCATTTTCAATATTGCGATATAATACGAATTATTCTCATGGTTAATAGCTGCTATGATAAAAAAAAAATACGTATTGCTTATTTTAATATTTTTTCAACAAGAGAGAGAGACAACAAAAAAATGCAAACTATATGTATATACAGCATCGTCGAATTTAGCAGCGCGAATGTCTTAAAATCACTCGTATAATGTTTATTCTCAACAGGCGCGACAAAGTGGGTTTCACACGCATAAAAAATATTTATCTATTTTAAAAAAGTATTGCTAATCGAATAAGTATTTTTTCACAACAAATCAATATTATTAATTTAAAAAAAATAATGTGTTAACGGCACTATTGAAAAATAATATTTATTTGAAATTAATAGCCTTTTTTAGTGTATAGAGTATAGATAATTGTCAAAATATAAAAAGCAATATAAAGTTAATACAAACATCGAATCACTTGACAACACGTATTTCGACATTTTTGGAGAGTTGTCTAATATGTAATCCTTAATTACTTTGTTTTTTGTTTTGTTTCACATTTTAATTATTTAAATGTTACAACAAATCGAACTTTAATTTGATACACTCACCACAGTCATGACTCTTTAGAAATAAGAAGCCTAATAATGTTTACCAACATTAATATATAACAGAGAAAAGTATAGAATCGAAAGGATCTGAATAGCTCACTGGAGAGCATCCGCCCGGCAAGCGAAAGGTCTCGGGTTCGATTCCCGATTCGCGATTTTCGGATCTATATTTTCTCTTGCATTCATTTATTTATTTTCCGTAGGGGGGTTAAAAAGGGGTATGAAATTAAATCTCAAATATGAGATTATTTCATATTTAAATCTTGGCCGTGTCCAAGTAAAATTTGGTGCTTGTGCACCGTTATTTAATTTCTAACGGAATTATTTAGTTTTCGTTAGGATAACGCATTGTCATCCGCGATTTGGCTTGCTTGTTGCCCGTCTTATACGTTAATTTATATTTATATTACAGAGCCTTGTTAAACTCTTATATATTTTTTAAGTTTTTTTTATTTTATAGGTAATTGTAATATATGATTTTTGCTCACATTATTTCAAATTGTTGAAGAAGGATAAAGACGATAGTATTAATTTTTATCTGAAGAACGCCTCGCGAGAAAAGAAGAGAGATATTTCTTTCTTCTTCATCCGCGAGCGATAAGGATAACAAAGTAGTGCGCGTCGTTCTCATGCCGTATGATTATGTTGCACTGTATCTAAATATGTATATTAGACATGCAATCAATCTTTTTTTCTGCAAATAGAGATAGAAGAAATTTAAGTAGTGCGATGCGAAAAGGTTTTGATTTAAATTATATAAGAAAAATAAATACACCAGCGCAATGTGTTTTAAAAAGTATAATTATTTCGTATTTGTTCAATGATATTTGTGACGTCATTCTGACTATTCGTTTTATTAAAAAAATTGCAACTAATCGATTTAGGCGTTTAAAATATATATGCAATAACTAATGCAAAATAAAAATTTTTATATTTTGTAATAAATATTTGTAATTACATTGAATGTTAGATTGAATAAACGTTTGATAGATTTCTAATGGAGCGAGGGAAAACCAGGAACAAGCAGACAACGAACACATTTTTAACAAAACTTGGCCGGGTCGGGACATTAAATTTGACATTCAAAATTGTAAAATTTGATATGCAATTAATTGTATATTAATATGCATCACTAAATTTATGTATAGAATAAATAAAATTTTCTTCAAGTATTTGTATAACTAATCAATCTATACTTCTATACTAATATAAAGTAGTAAGTTGTTCGTTTCATTGTTAGGGGTAATCTCAGAAACTATTCAACCGATTTGCAAAAGATCTTTCACTAGTGAATAGCTTAAATCTTCCTGAGTAACATAGGCTATATGCAATCGTCTTGCAATTTCTAAAAATGTACGCGTCGTACAAAAAACGTTCATTACGCTTTATATTTTCTAATAATTTTTTTAATTTACCATTGTAGTGTAAATAATTCATATGTACTAGTGAGATTTTATCATAATCAGTCGTATATTATTAAATTATTGATAACAAATTTACTTCTTTATATATTAGTATAGATAGATAGATAGAAGTATAGATAAGTAAGTATAGGGCTTTTAATAGGTAATAGTATGAAAAAATAATATCGTAACTTTAAATAAATAAAAACATAAAAGCTTTAACATACTAAAAATGAAAGTATATTTAGAATAAATAAGCTATAAAAGCCAAACGTGGATGACGGTACGTTAATTACACCAAGAATTAATTTTTTACTGTAATTAAATAAT